TCTATGTTCATCATGGATATTGGCCTGAAGTTTTCTTTTCTTGCTGAGTCTCTGCCGGGTTTTGGAATCAGGATGATGTTGGTCTCTTAAAATGATTTGGAAAGAATTCCCTCTTTTTGTATTGTTTGGAATAGTTTCAGAAGGAATGGTACCAGCTCCTCTTTGTATGTCTGGTAGAATTCGGCTGTGAACCCATCTGGACTTGGGCTTTATTTGGGTGGTAAGCTCTTAATTGCTGCCTCAACTTCAGACCTTGTTATGGGTCCGTACAGGGTTTTGGCTTCTTCCTTTTTTAAGCTTGGGAGGAGGCAAGTGTCCAGGAACTTATCCATTTCTTCCAGGTTTACTAGTTTATGTGCATAGTGTTGTTTGTAATAATCTCTGATGATGGTTTGAATTTCTGTGGAATCTGTGGTGCTATCCGCTTTATCGTTTTTTATGGCATCAATTTGGTTATTCTCTCTTTTTTTTATTAATCTGGCTAGTGGTCTATTGTGTTGATCTTTTCAAAAAACCAGCTCCTGGATTTGTAGACTTTTTTGAAGGGTTTTTGGTGTCTCTATCTCCAGTTCTGCTCTGATCTTAGTTATTTCTTGTCTTCTGCTAGACTTTCAGTTTTTTTTATCTTGCTCCCCTAGCTCTTTCAAATTTGACAATAGGGTGTCAATTAAAGATCTCTCCTTTCTTCTCATGTGGGCACTTATTGCCATATATTTTCCTCTAGAGACTGCTTTAAATGTATCCCAGAGATTCTGGTATGTTGTGTCTTCATTCTCGTTGGTTTTGAAGAACATCTTTATTTCTGTCTTCATTTCATTGTTTATCCAGGCAACATTCAACAGCAAGTTGTTCAGTTTCCATGAAGCTGTGCGGTTCTGGGTTAGTTTTTGAATTCTAAGTTCTAACATGATTGCACTGTGGTCTGAGAGACTATTTGTTATGATTTCCATTCTTTTGCATTTGCTGAGGAGTGATTTACTCCCAATTATGTGGTCGACTTTAGAGTAGGTGTGATGTGGTGCTGAGAAGAGTGTATATTCTGTGGACTTGGGGGTGGAGAGTTCTGTAAGTGTCTATTAGGTTTGCTTGGTTCAGGTATGAGTTCAAGTCCTGGATATCCTTGTTAATTTTCTGTCTGGTTGATCTGTCTAATATTGACAATGGGGTGTTAAAGACTCCCACTATAATTGTGTGGGAGTCTAAGTCTCTTTGTCAGTCATTAAGAACCTGCCTTATGTATCTGGGTGCTCCTCTATTCGGTGTGTATATATTTAGGATCGTTAGCTCTTCTTGTTGCATTGATCCTTTTACCATTATGTAATGTCCTTCTTTGTCTCTTATGATATTTGTTGCTTTAAAGTCTAATTTATCAGAGATGAGAATTGCAACTCTTGCTTTTTTTTGCTCTCCATTTGCTTGGTAAGTGTCCTCCATCCCTTTATTTTGAGGCTTTGTGTATCCTTGAATGTGAGATGAATTTCCTGGATACAGCACACCGATGGGATTTGTCTTTTTATCCAATTTTGCAGTCTGTGTCTTTTGATTGGGGCATTTAGTCCATTTACATTTAGGGTTAATATTGTTATGTGCGAATTTGGTACTGACATTTTGGTGCTAGCTGGCTGTTTTGCCCATTAGTTGATGCAGATTCTTCATTGTGTTGATTCTCTTTACCATTTGGCATGTTTTTGGAGTGGCTGGTACTGACTGTTCCTTTATATGTGTAGAGCCTCTTTCAGGAGCTCTTGTAGAGCTGGCCTGGTGGTGAC